TGTTTTACAGTGTGTTATTTTGGTGTCCTAGATTTATGGTACGCCCTCAGGAGTTTTTTTCAATGATTAAGCTTCAAAAATTAATCTAAAAACATATATCATGACCATGTGTTATTTTCCCATGCCGCATATAGAGATTTTACCTAAGTATAGTTAAATGTTCACAAAAAGTGCAAAATAAACCACTGTGCGGTTTTTTAAAAAACTTTACTTGAAGTTACTCGAAAATACATTAAAAACGTCTGACAATTGTAAATAAATGTTTAAAAAATTATGGAGTAACTTTTCTACCAAATGCCCTTAAAATAATTATTTAACTTAAAAATCCAAAACAAACAAAAATTTAATTTTGTCCAATTTTAAAGCTATTCTGCCCCACTGCGGGTCCGGGTGAATTGAATTTACTGAAAAAAAAAAACATTTTTTTTTTTATTCATCCGGTCTAAGACAAGTATTGAAAAAAAAAAATATTACGCATATTGCAATATGCGTAACAATATAAAACCGCTCAATATTGAGCAATTTTATTAAAAAACACTTTAAAAAAAAGCAAGAATAGAAAATAAATTTTCATATTATATCTCTTATTTCAATACATGATGTCTATGGACTAATATATGCTATTAAGAAATTAAAATGTTGTAAAATTGTTTTACTACTTGTCTTAATTGCATCATATTTCTTTTTTATAAGATTTTTTTTTTGTTTTGACCAATGTTTAAATGGTAAATTATTGCCATTTTTTTGTAGTAAAATTGATATACCAAGCTCAAAAATCATATAAGAGAAAAAGTTATATCAGTTTTAGAGTACTTGGGTGTCTCTAGATTACATTTATAAAAATAAATTACTCCAGTATAGAAGTTGGTATTAAGAGGTTTAGCTCACCTCTGGCTCACTGTACACCACTTCAGTCAATTTTTCACAAAGCTATCTACACGTAAGTTTCTCTAAATTATAAAAATGTGAAATTTAGAAAACAGGTTTTTGGATTAACAAATGAACTTAGGAAACTGGTGTTTGGATAAAGAGTTTTTTGATCATCTCACTTTTGTCTTTAATTACCCTGACTTTTTGTTACTCTGACTAAATCAGATATTATAGCTTTAAGTGGCTTTAGTAAAGCGGATTTGCCCCTACACTCCCTATACTTAGTCCGCCACTGAAACCTGTTTAGTTTTGGATAATATAAAAAATATATATATATTTTTTAAATCCTATTGACTTGGCGGAATATTGAAAGAAAAGCACCAATAGCCAAGTTTGTTGTTTATCCATGGCCTACTTTATTTATACAGCCGGATATTTTGAAGAAAAAAGTTGAAGACCAGTTTTCTTGCAAAGTATTTTTCAAGAAGCAGCTTTTATTGTAAGTAATGTAACACGAATCAACGTTTTAGATCGATAAAAAAACTAAATCCTTTTCCAACTATTTTCTATGGTGAAAATTGGACTGAAGAAAGTTTATCACAACTTATATAATTTTCTAATTCATTAAGAAAATCACCAACTAAAAGAATATTTCATCCAGATCAATATAGACAATTTTTATTGAATGTTTTGATTAGTAACTTTGATATATTATTACTGAAAGTCTTGCTCCTAATGGTTTTTCATTCTTGAAGTATGAAGATGATCATGTAATTTTTTATAAATTGAGTCATAGTACATCTAGCATACAAATTTATAGCATGTTAAATTATTTTACAAAGGTTCACCTTTGTAAAATAATTTAACATGCTATAAATTTGCCATTACTCAATATTTTTCTCAAGGAAGAGATTGTCATTTATCTTGTAAAAGTATGCTTTATAAATTTCCTGTCTATATTAAATCGCAAGCTGAACAATTTTTATCTGTAATAATTGAATTACAGCAAATTAAATATATGAAGAAACCTATTTATTCAGCCAATATTATAAAGCATTCACTGATATTACGATATACTTCAATGCAGTCAAACTAAATTTTGCATGAAGAAATGCCAAAATTTATACATGATTAAAACCTCACCTAAAAAAATAATTAATGCTGAATGGTTAAAAGAAAAAAAAAATTTAATTGTAATGTTTGGTCTTCAACCTCTCACGGGAAAGCCTGTTGACCTGTCTCGATAACTACAGTAACGCATAGACCAGATTTTTTTTATTAAACTACAGTCCGAATTCCAGTCCTTTGTTGTCAAAATCTTTTGAATGAAATTCTAGTCTGCGTAATGTATATAACTGTGATTGCAACATAATAATTGAGGCTTACCACATGTAAACGTATAAAACTACGAATAAAGTATCTGTATTATGTGTTAATATTTAGTTTAACGTTTGTATTATATGTATTAGTATTACGTTGGATCAATCGTATTCTATTAGCAAGTGGATTGTTATTTGACTATAAATTTTTGAGCATCAGTTTTATTTCCAAAGTTGAATTTATTAAACATTCAGATTAGATTTTGACTTGTTTGGTTAATTTTTAGGCGATATGACCGAATCCCTTGCACTTTATCTACTAAACACTTGTTGCCGAAAATTAATTTAATGTAACCAAATAACTTAATTTAATCAACAATTTTAGTTTAATTAAGGAACAATTTTGGTTTAGTTTAAAAACGAAAGACAGAGAGATTAAAAATGATAATAATAAAAAAAAATATGTGAAAGAGGTTTAAAATTATATTTTTTTAATTTTTGTCAGAAAAAAGGAACTAGCAGGTTTAAAACCAATAAAACATAGTGCTCTTTTGTCTATAAATAAAATTTTGTTTTAAATAATTATATGACAAATGTCTTGAGTTAAAATAAGGGTTAATATTAATTTTTAGTATTATTTTGAAATAAAAAATGACAAAAGGTGAAACCTTTAAATTTTCTCTGATCAAAAGCAAAACTAACAATTCACTGAAGTGCAGTGTTGTTTTTTCTCAATAATTGAGACAAATATTTGAGTCAAGTAGTCTGCAGATACATGTACTGATGTATTTTACCTACAGATTTACCTTTCCCATATAAATTCATTGAAAATTTACAAAATATAAATCTTGTGATGACTGAGAATTATAAGACTATTTTTAAATCTAATTCACTCACAACAATTTAAGCACTATTAAGTCTAGAAAACAAAGATTAGTGTTAAAGAACAATGAAATGGTTGACAGAAGGCTTTAAAAGTTGTAGGCTGTATGAGTCAGGAAAACATAAAGATGAAAGAGAATACCATTGAAGTTTCAGAAAAAGCTAGACAAATAAAAGTTTTTAGAGCATGCATGAACAGTAACAGAATGCAACTTTACTGAATGACTAGTTTAGTGACAATGATCTTTGTTTTATGAAACTGGCAGTTAAACTCCTTTAAGCAGTGACCATTAAAGAAATTGTGGAAAAGAGAAAAAGATGCAACCTTATGAAGATGAGTTAGTGGCTAAAGTTTGGCAGATACAGCAGGCCCAACTATGTTTACAATGTGTTTTTGGACCTTGTCTAAAAATCAAAAGAGTATTTTTAGTAGAACCAGCCCAAATATGACAACATAATTTCGTACAGGGACAAATGGCAGGCACAATAATAAAAAAACAGCCTTTCCAGATGTCAATCTTGCAATTGATTGTATATATGGTTACCATGAGAAGTCAGTTGTGAATGATAATCCAAAAAAAAACATAAAAAAGAGGACATGGGAGTGTGCCCAAATCAACTGTTCAAGATACTCTAGGGAGAATTAAAAAACATGTAGTGCTCAATAGTTTGCCAAGATCTGGATGAAAATGAAAACAACTCCAAGAATTGATCAAAAAATCTTCACTTTGGTTGAAAATTCTGTGAGACCAAATACAACAGGTATTGCAAAATAATTCAGAACTCCAGTTAGTCAATATAAGTCCTCAAACTGTTAGAACAGGCTGCATGAGTATGAATTACTCAAAAAACTGTTATTTACCAAATGACATACTGCAAAAAAGCTTGCATTTTGCAAAAAAGTAACAAAACTGGACCATTGATAATTGGAAGAAAGTGTTAAGGTTGGACGAACCAAAAATATACTTTAATGGTTCAGATGGTAGATGTTGGACATGGAGAAGACCAGTTGAATTAATGCAAAAAAAGCATTTAAAACAGACAATAAAGCATTAGAGACAACACAAGTCATTCATCGCCTGGGGATGCTTCAGTTAGAATGGCGGTAAATTTTCAAAATTTATCAGAAAAATTTTCAAAATTTACCGCCTGGTAAATGTTGAAATTTTTTTTTTACTTATTTTTATTTTCCTTTAAAAAAATAATTTAAAATTTTATGGTGAATTTAGGAATCAAGTTTTACTGGAAAATTGACATCACTAATTCCAACAAGATGGTGATTCAAAACATACGGTATAAAATACCAAAGCCTGGCTCCAAGACAAAAATATTGAGGGGTTAGATTAGCCTGCACAAGGTCTAGACTTGATTCCTCTAGAAAACCTATGGAAAGTAGTCAAGGAAGAAATGAAACAGCCTGGTTGAGTCGATACCTAAGTGAACTGATGAAGTATTAACTAATAAAGAAGGGTGGACTAAATAGAAAAAAAGAAATAAATGACAAAAAAAAATTTTTTTTGTTTTGATATTTTTTTCCACTGTCATTTTAGTTTGCTTACTAAAAGAGACATCTACCTTGTGTATTAAATGTTTGATCGTACACTTAGATAGAGCTTTTCGAGAGCTACAAAAAAAAAGATATCAGTATGAGGTTTCATTCATTTAATATAAAATTATATATAAAAATAGTTTGTCTGGATACTTTTTTCTGGAACGATATATAATAAAAAAAATTGCATTAATGATATACAATAATTCTGATTCTGAGTCTGATGGGAGTAATCAAAAATGCTGCAACATGGTAAAATGTTAACTTTAGCGTTTAGAGAAAATCTAAATATGTTTTTAATTAATAAATTTGTCTAAAAGAATAAAAATTTAGAATGATTTTTTATAAAAAAATTTGTATTTATCCAAGTTATTTTTGTAATTTAACTTTTTAAATCAATTTTTTTGTTTTATTAATCAAGAACTAAATAATGGCATCAGTTGAAAACCCAGAAGCTGAATCAGATAGAAATGTAGAAATATGGAAAATAAAAAAGTTAATTAGAAGTTTGGAGGCTGCAAGAGGGTAAGTGATAATAATTTAGATAGTGGTAATTATTATTTTGTTTTTATATTCAGTATGTTTTTATATTCAATATCAATGTTTCTTCCATATTTTTATTCATATTAACCCTTTCAGTTCCTATGACCCAATATGCTGGTCTTAATATTTGTTAGTAAATTTGACCATGGCATGTAGGTGGAACTTCTGTTTTTTTTTTGGTCGCCCTATGAGCAACTGAAATATTATGTCTTACTTGAGTCATTTGCTATGACAATCAGTAGCCCAGTGTTTTAATTTTTTGGTTATTTTTTCTCATGTGAAAAAAAAATCACTAACTACTCAAATATTACAAATAAAAACTATTTAATTAAAAATAAAATTAAAAAAAAAATGTGAAATTGAGGATGAGGAAATAGTATTATGAAATGTTAAAATGCATTACAAAATGTTAAAATCAAATGTTAAAAGCTGTTAAAAATATGTTGTTAAGTATTTTTTATTATGTTTAGTTACAAAGTAATGGAACTTTAAATACAACAATGGTTCTCATTGCGTTTACCTAGAGAAAAAAGTTTAAAAAAATAACCAAAAAAAAACTATTCATATAAGGAAATATTTAATATTATTTTTGCTCAATTTTCAATCAAATTTAAATTAGTTGAATATTTGAAATGTTTTTACTTTCATTTACTTTTTTTTAGAAAATGCATCATTACGTTTTTTATTAAGCTAATTTTGTTTGACAAAGTTTAAATAAAATATTATTTCACTAATGAAAAACTAAAGGTTCAAATTTATTAATGATTCACGTGATTCAAAATGCAACTAATACGTTTAAAAAAATGATACATTAGCATTTTTCATTGAAAGAAAATGTAATTTTGAAATTTTGAATTAGGAAAAAATCTTGATTCAAAATGCGACTGTAATGTTTTTTTGTGTGGATGAATTAACATTTTGAATTAAAAAGAAAACGAGCTTCAAAATACATCATCATTTTAAAAAAAAGTTGCACTTTGAAACATTTTAAATTGCTTGCATATCTAATTTAATTAAAGTCAGTTTTTTTTATTAAGTTCTTTAAAATTATATAATGCACCATAGTGTATTTTTAATTGTAGTGTATAATTTAAGTAGATTTTTAATGTAATTTTTAATGTACTTTAAATGTATTTTCAAAAGTTTTTTTTTTAAATTATCACGAGGAATAAAATCTTCATATTTTAAAATATGGTTATATTAATAAACACTCTTTCGAAAGTAATGAACTGTTTTGTTATCATGCCACAGGGCCTCTGACAGGCATTTTTTTCAAAATTTAAGTCACCCTTTAAGAAAACAAACAACTATGAGGTTCCACCCTTGGGGAATAAATGGCATTGTGACTAAGAAAAATTAGATTTTTGACAAAGTAGTTTTGCGGACGTTTTTCTAAAAAAATACAACTAAGTCTCAGTAAAATTCTGACAATTTGTTTTTATTTTATAGCTTTTAAACCAATGATATTTCGCTCAGAATCATTTTGCTGTTTTTTATTAGGGAGTAAAAGTGTTAATAATTTAACTGTGCAATTCGATTCTTTTATTGATGTTTCTTCAATAGTGAGGAATTGTTACATTGGTCACAACTAACAAGTAACTTTTTCAATAACTACTGGACAAGAAAATTTTATGTGCACCACATTTAGTAAAAATAAAAGACACATGGCTACAACTCTTTCAAGTAAAACAATTATGAAGATAATATGCCTGCAAACAATCTGTATGAATTAAATATATAAATAATTATTTTTATATGTTGTCATAATGCAACAATTATTGTGATGTAAATGATTAAATGTTAATCTATAAAATTCTGATTTTTTTGAGACACAGGTAGAATAAAATGAAGAGTGATAGTGTGATATCCAAAAATTATAATCCTAATGGACGGGTTAAACATGTGGCTAATATGAATCAGTCTTTATGAATCAAAAGATAATAGCCATCAAAACTGAGATCCCATTATATGTATATATATATATGTATATACGAGTGATGTGGAAGTTATCAGACAAATCTAAGTATAGTTATTTGATAATTTTCAAAAGTGACTCAAAATATTATTTGGAAAGAAACCTATTTAAAAAAAATGAACTAGATAATCATTTGAAAAAAAAGGGTTTGCGAAAAGTATGATATATCGTAACTTAAAAAGACTTGAAACATTTCAATCCTTTTCTGATAAAAACACCCTGGTTGTCCAACATCCTTGACTGGAAAAAATAAAAGCTACATTAATGAGACTTGTCAACAATCAAAAAGGCTCAGTCAAAAAAAAAGCAGATCTCGAATTAGGTGTAAATCGACAATTGATTGTCAGTTTAAAAAATGAATATTAATAATAGAAAATGCGAAAAGACTCCAAAATATACTATTGAACAACAATTAAAGATAAAGAAAAGAAACAGGAAACTTGTCAACCAGCTTTATAACACAAAGTCACTTTTGGTTAATGATGATGAAAAAAATAACAAATAACAAAAAAAACATTCCAAGAAAGTGTTGGCCCTATAGTAAAAGAGAAGTTGCTAAAAAATATACTATTGAACAACAATTAAAGATAAAGAAAAGAAACAGAAATTTTGTCAACCAAAAAAAATTATTTTGTCAAAAAAAAAAATTACTAATGTGAATAGCCATATCTGACCGTGATATGTCCGAGCCATTGTTTCTTACTTCCAAGGCTGTAGCAATTAATATATTGATCTATATTGATGAAGGTTTAGATAAACAACTTCTTCATTCACAAGTATTATAGAGACTTTGAATATATATTTTGGCCAGATTTAGCAAGTTCTCATTATTCGAAATTTCTAAATTGGATGGATGAATAAGTCAATTATGTTGATAAAGAATCCAATTCCCCAAATGCACCTCAACAATTACCAATTGAAAACTTTTGATGGATCATAAAGTTTACAAGAGGGAGATAGCAAGCTTTAACAGAACAAGTTTTGATTATTGGAATAATTTAAAACTACTAAAAAGGTGTCAAAGCAAAATGCTTGTTTAAATAAGTATTAATTGATTTATAATACTTAATTTAACAAAATGTAGTAATAGTTTTTTTTTAAATTTATAAATAAGATATTGAAGTCTTTATTGTATCCAATAAATTATGCATTACCCAATATATATATATATATATATATATATATATATATATATATATATATATATATATATATATATATATATATATATATATATATATATATATATATATATATATATATATATAAATAAGAAGCAGCTCGCACAGCTCCCCAAGTTCGTTTTAGGAGAGCTTTTCTCTGCTCTTGTACTCCTTTATTCCTGCCGAGGCCTGTTTATATATATATATATATATATATATATATATATATATATATATATATATATATATATTTATATATATATACATAATGTGCTTGATTGAGTAAAAACTAGAAATGGTTTTCTCAATAAAAACACTCATCTAAGGTCTGCTACTTTCTTGTAGAAGACCTTCTAGGTAAAAACTTAAGGGTTAAGCAGAAAATTTCTGTTGACCAGCTTTGCACCCCTTCTTTATCTAATAGACTAATGTGCTGGTGAGCATAGACGTAAAACTGTGAGACTTTGTTTCCTGTATATATATATATATATATATATATATATATATATATATATATATATATATATATATATATATATATATATATATATATATATATATACATATATATATATATATATATATATATATATATATATATACATATATATATATATATATATATATATTTATATATATATATATATATATATATATGTATATATATATATATATATATATATATATATATATATATATATATATATATATATATATATATATATATATATATATATATAAAGGTTATTAAAAACTGATGCCATGGGTGCCCATGAATTTTCCAATATATATATATATATATATATATATATATATATATATATATATATATATATATATATATATATATATATATTGGAAAATTCATGGGCGCCCATGGCATCAGTTTTTAGTAACCTTTTACACTTGTAAATGATATTTATTTTGAGAAGTGAAGTGAAGCTGGTGAAGGCAAATAAATCTTATTTATATTATGCATACCTAATAAGTGTTTATAAGTGAAAAAGAATCAAAATTAAAAATTTAAATGACTGAAAACAAATGTTAAAAATAAAAAATTCCAAGTTAGAAAATTTCATTAAAGAATTTCTTTATAAACTATATTAAATGTATAATGATAACGCCTTTTTTTAAAAGCAACACATGGGTAATTCCACATCAAATCACCCAGTCCATTGAGCCATGTGTCTTCTTTTTGTTTTATATTTTGACACATTATTCCTAATTTAAAAAAAAAATTGCATGCAAAATTTCAACCAAAAATGTTGAGCGGTTGACAAGATACTGCGATTTTAATATTGACCTGGTTTCCCAAAATGACCAGGTTTACATAACATTCTAAAAATATCTTTTTCTTTAAAAAATAAGAAATAAAAATGGCAAAAATATAAAAATAAACATATATAATATTTTTTTGATGCTGAATTCAATAAATGTACTTAAAATGCTGAAATATAAAAGGAACAAGCTTAAAAGTTAATAAAACAACAAGTTTCTATAAACCAACTTTGGGGCCCAATATCTCAAAACACCCCCGTCAAATTTTTTTTTTTTTGCTGTTAATATATTCAGCTGCTTATAATCTTACTAGGCACAAAATATCTAAACATATAAAACTTTAATATCTAAGATGTATTACTTTTTCAAAAAATTCCCAAAAAATGTTTGTAAATAAAATAAAAATAAGTTAATCGTAATTTAAAAATGTATTTAAATATACAAGATTTTTCAAGATGCAAGTTATTTTGACTGTGTTTGTAATAGTTCACAATATTGTTCCCATTTTACTTGTACTTCTTCTATTTCAGCATTTTCAAACATTTTCAAGCTTGTGGAACAGATAG